TTTTAACAACTCTGAGCTATTAGTTAAGTTCTCCCCAAGCGAGCTCGATGGGCCGAATGGCCTCCTCTCGTTTGTATAGTTCTTATGTTCTTATGTCAGGGGGGCACTGGCTCAACGCAAACGACCCAAGGTGGACTGACCTTGGGGACTGAATTGACAAACAAATCACGCAAAGCTTTCATTGGGTTCTTGGACCACCTAGAGCAGCGTTTCCTAATCCGGTCCTCGGGGAGCCACAGTCGGTCCAGACAGACAAAATGTGGACTGTCTATGGGTCCCCGAAGACCAGATTGGGAAATACTGACCTAGAACAATATATAATAATAATTTAATAATAATTTAATAATAATTAATAATAATTGATACTTTATTGATCCCCGTGGGGAAATTGTGTGCAGACACAATGCTGACAGCAGGCATCTACACAGGGAGGGAATCTGCACAAAATCAGGGTCCCTAAACATACAAGATTTTACCAGTGGGTGCCTGAATGTTTAACTCGGGTAAATGTTGCTCCTCGGCACAACTAAATGCTAGAGTGGCACATCTGGGAGCCGGGTTCCCATGGAAGAACCCACCTAGCTTTGATTGGCATGCCAGTGGTAAGGCTGCTTTTATTTTGATAGCATGCCTCCCCGGTATTATCTACCCTGCCTTCTACAGCTCCATCCCAAGGCAGGCCTGCGGTGATAAGCCCAGAGAACTGCACTGCATGCAGACCACCATGCCTGGGGCTAGCAGTGTAAGAAAGGTCTTCCCGGTAAGGGTCTGTGCTGTCTCAGCGGCCACCTCCGGCTCTGGCAGCCACAGAGCTGAAGACGCTCACTGAATCTTCAAAGCAGACATGTATTGAAGGATACAGGAAGCTCGAAAGGCTCGAGAGGCAGCACAAACACCCGCACCTCTCAAAAAAGCAGCGTCCAGTAGCCTAGCACTGTGTTCCATGCCATCCATTTCTTTTGCCCATGTTGGCTTTTTTACTGTGTCCTGTAGCCAACATTTTAACCGACGAGGGCATTGATAGGGACCAAATCAATATAGATGGGGTCCACATCAGCCCCATGCCTCATGCCCATGCCTTTGTTAACCAATATAGATGTCATAAAAATATGAATTGTACTTAGTAATGAATCAGTTACAATTGAAGTACAAATTATGAACAAATCATGAAAAAATATAGTACTCCTGGAGATAAAAGATCTGTCCCGATTCATTAATGATGAACAAGCATGAGATCAGCATTTCAACTGTGTTATTCATGACTTCTTCCTTCAGTAGTTCCGTCAGTAGTTCACAAAGGTTTACAGAATTAACAGATACCGTAACATATACTGTAACTGCTTGGGATGAAAGATGCACCATGATTCATTGATGATGAATAACTGCGAGATCAGTATATAACTTCTGTTATTCATGACTTGTTCCTTCAGTAGTTCGCCAAGGTTTACAGACATAAATTAACAGACATAGAACCAAAGATAGCAACTGTCTGAGATAATATATGCGTCACGATTCACTAATGATGAATTAACATGAGATTAGTATGTAACTAAGACTTAGTTTGTGGTTAATTGGATGGATGGAAAGTTCATGATAACTCACATGAGTGAGCTCTTCAACTGACTATGGCCAAGATTTTGCCCTTTCACTCGTGTACTGGCATAAAAAATCAGGATAATACTCACATCTGGATCTAGCTCTTCTAATTCATCCTCCAGCTTCTTCAGCTCTGCCTCTGAGAGGTTTTTCAAGAGCTCATCCTCATCCACATCCCGGTACTTCTCCAGTTCCTTCCTGAATGACATGGCCAAAGGTGGGAAGCAAAGGAACTAACAAGAATGTGCTGTCCCACAAAGTCCCTGAGAAGAATATCTGGAGAGAGGAGAAGATAGCATATAGATGGTGAAAATCTCACAGTCGTGTTTATAGGTGCGTCCTACACGATATATATTCCCATGCTTCACAAAGGTCAAACCCTTCAGAGGATACCAGATGTGGTTCGAGAAAGTTTCTTTGATTTTTGGAAATTTAATGAAAGTCTATTGGATTCCATGAGGACTGAGTGAGTTTTGGATCCCAATCCTGGAACCTATGATGAGGAAGCCTGACTTTAGGTAATTTGGGGTCTCGTGCCAAAAACAACAAAAATGGACTGAGTGAGCTTTGGAAATTTGCTCTTTAATTTACTGTAATAAATAAGTAAATAATTATAATAAACAATTAAGTCTGGTTTATGTCACAAATTTCCTCACAGTGCACAATACTTCTGAACAGTCCCAGTTTATGAAGAAACGTTTAAGTCTGGGCTCACTACTGGGTAACGGTGGGTAACCTCACACAGAGGGCACAATTCAAATCAATAAGCAGGGATGGATGGATGGATAGATGGATATTCACATTAAATGATGGTGTGGATGGACAAATGGACAGGTATTCACATTTAACAATGCTGTGCTTTCATTAAAAAAATCAACTTACAGTTTTACCAATTTGCAGAATTAAAAATTTTAATGGAGCAGTTCAGGTTACACATTTTGTTTTCTGCTCTTACCTGGGCCAATGAATTGAGCAACCATTAGGTTACAAGTCTACAATAGTAATTACTCCAAGGTACCTTCTAAAATAATTATAAAATAATATTCAATTAGCCTTTAATCCTTTCAACTGAAGAGCCCAGACGCATTCTATTCTTTTGTTTCGCTCTTTGGGAATTTTCTTTGACAGTTCCTCCTCACCAATAAACAAAAATAACCTGCTTCCTAGCATCGCCTGTAAAGCCAGATGACTGGAAATTGCGCCAGCCCCAAGGCCGGTAAGAGCTACACCGTTTTTTTAAGAGCGTGCAGGCTACACGCACCCTTAGAAAAAACACATTTGTACCCTGCATAAAGACCGGCAGAATTCCGCGTGCAACAAAACTAACGGGTAAATGGCTTATGAACAACCGAGAAAACAAATGTCGCCGAACTAAGGGGTTAATCTAAATAATAAATTCCCAAACTGAAAGCAGAACTTTAAATCACAGCTTTAGAGTTAGCAACAGGTGGGGTTTAACTTAGGATATTTATTTTGACAGGTTTTAAACAGCTGATAGGAGCCAGAGGAGACGATGTCTTTGATAGACCTCTAGGTCAATGTTCTTATATTGCTTAAGTAATAAGTAGCTGCATAAGTAATAGGCTTTCAGACATAGCGTGTGTTTAGAAAAGTAGCCATTACGTTTGTAGAGGGGGATTCCCAATGTTAGATATAAATTAGTTGTGAGAAACGTCACTAATGTCCATTGACGACTTTAACTTCATGAGTAATAAGTGCGATGACGAAGAAAAAACTTCAGCATGTTACCCTAAGACGCATCGTACAAAACTGATGCATTTCAAACGACAGCGTAAAATTGTAGTATCGAATAAGTAATTTAATAACATATAATTACAATTTTAAATGTGGCAGCATTTACAATCTTTTGTGTAAAGCTCACTTGTGACAAACGTCCCTTATGGAGATATACTAAATTTATTTTTTAATTTATACCTGAGAAGTGCATTGACATAAATATTTAATATCTCAGCGAAATATTACAGTAGCAGTTTAAACATTGTTAAGGTAAGATGTGGGTGAAACTTTACATGCATAGACAACAAAGCGATGCACAGATGTTTTCATTGATAATATGCAGAAATCGGCATTTGAACGCTCGCCTTTACATTTGCTTACCTCTTCCAGTGACTATTCCGGGCTATTTATAGAGCGGCTCCGCTTTGACAGCTGAATAGTTTGACCAGATATGGCCACTTTTCAGCGCGGATTGAGAAAGACTCGGGCGTGCAGGAGCTCACGCACCCGACGGAGGGCCCTTACCTCGCGAGTGGAGGGCACGCCGGACGCCGCACTGGGAGTCCCTGGAGCTCCGCGCGGGCTCTGTAAGTTGCAGTATTTCCACGAAAGTTTTTTTCCCTTGTCTCCCACAGTCAAGGGGACGGCTGACGGAGCTCGGGCACAGCCGGGGGAGCGCGCGCCGCCTCGCTGCCACTCACGTGACGTCAGGCTGGCCTGCGCTTGGAAGGCAGCGGACCACCGCTGGCAGTAATGTAACTAAGTATATATACACGCGCGCGCGCACACACCCCCACCCACAAGGGCACACATAAAACAGACATTCAGTAGCTGTTCTTTCTGGGCATGTAGCAAAACGCAGGGAGAAGTATTTTCACAAAATTTATTTTTATTTCACTCTAGAAATTCGGTCAACCATTAAATAAACCCTTCACAACAAACAAAGCAGTGCAAATTTAAATACAACGCAGCCTTTCCATTCAAGCTTCAAGGAAATAGGCAATGACCTGAAAAGCAGGAACTATATTATCCAAACATCCATAAATTAGTTTCACAATAGATTCAAGTTGCTGTAGTTTTGTAGTAATAAATTTAAGACAGCACTAAACAGCTGGAAGTCAAAAGGCTTCATAGTATAAAGCAAACAAAGGATTTTTTTCCCCACCTTTATATACCTCCATGAACACAAGCTGCATATTATATATATGAATAAAAAAAACAAACTAAATATTGTAAACTTTATCACTTTGCACATTGAGTTCATTTTAGCATGTTTAGTACTATGTGAACAGATCCACACTTAATTAAGCAGGAAACATCGCGGGAGAGCCTGAACTTCCCATGTTGCAGTGCCGAGCTCAGATGGAGCTACAGTTTAGCATGTGCAGGAAAATCCAACAAGGACTCTGCTGATAGGGGCCAGGCTGTGTTATGCCGGCTTGCTAAGTTCCTCCGCAAACTCGGACATGAGGTCATGCACCCAGATGTCTCTGTCTTCCTGACTGGTGTCCACCAGGTATGCCACCACCTTCCGGTCCCAGGGCTGGGCTGCCTCATGCACCACCTCGATCTGGGCAACCAGCGCCTTCTTCTCCACATGGTTCCTGAACACCATGGAAGCTTCTTCTGACCACTGTAGAGGTTTGATTCCTGTGGGAATAGGGGTCAGTGAAACTGGTCAGGAAAAGCAGATTTTCACTTATAAAGTTCAAGACACCAGGCTTGAAATCACAACTACTGTGGGGAAAAGTAATTGCTATTACTACTGGGCACCACAAGGGGGAACCCTTCAAGATCTTGCAGACCCGACAAGAGCACTTGATCAGCAACGTCCTATGTTTAATATATTGTAGACAGATGTGACCATTTCAGGTCAAGGAGGTAAAAATCCAGACCGAGATTTTGTATCAGCCAACCAGTTGAGTATAGAGTCGCAGAGTACTTAACCAGTTGGTTGAAACAAAATCTTGGTTTAGATCTTAAACTTTCTGGACCTGAAATGTGCACCGCTGAATAGAGAACAGAGGTACCCAACCTTGCGATGTCTATGGATCAATACAAAAATTTCATACCGTTAAGATGATCCGGGGTGCATTGGGGGGGGTGGTTCACTTACGAGCAATTTCATAAGTTTGGCCATTTTAATTTTTTCAGATGCGCAAACATGAGGGGTTGTTAAAAATTTCAAAAACCTTTGTTGTTCCACAGCCTGGTAGAATATTGGCCTTGGACCGGTGACAATCCACAGACAGGATTGGGGACCACTAGAGTGCAGTATATACTAAAGCTGCATTTAGTAATTATAGAAGGCACGCAGCCATGCCTAATCACCAGACCACCCAGGGCATCCTTACCAGCCAGCTGCGCCGTGATTCCCTGGAAGGGAAGCTGGCGGAACTCGCTGATGAGTGGCTGCAGTTTGGTGCAGCTGACCAGCTCGTGTTTGCCGTAGTCCAGCTCGTACACAGACACCAGGCCATTGGTTAGGATGCACTTCACGAGCACACGGTGCCAGCTGAGAGGACAAGCGGGGACAAAAGGAGACTGGGTTAGCATCTCACAGGGCATGGGTGCGGCTAGAAGGAGCAGGCACCATCTGCGGACACAAGTTCTCTCTGAGAGGGAAAGCAGAAAGCCTGCAGGAAAAACAGAAATACTACAACAAAAAAAATCTATGTTCTGTATCACAAAACAAAGATTTTTGTTTTTCACTGTTCAGTACAAGACTACTAAGTCGTCAAAAATACTTCATTTAGAAACACCACTTCCTATATAGACCTTGGTTCCACGCACAAACCTCACACTGGCGAAACAGCTTCCAAGTAATCAGGAAAAGTAGTAAAACAAAATTAAGCTGGGGCTTCCTCATTTTTGCGTGAAGGCAGTCTATCACTATTCAAAAACAGCAGTGTGACTAATTTCTTGTCAAGCCAAAATTTATATACTTAATACAAATAAACATATTTGAATTTATACTGATGTCGCAGCAGCTTATATTAATTGTAGGAAAGAGTGGGCTATGAATAAAGGAAACAGAAATATTCATGTACACCCTGTTGTAAATCTCACCAATGTTTGTGCATTGGTACTAAGCCAAGGACTTGCTACTCACTTGTTCTCCACTTTGGCAGCATAGATCTGGTTCTTCTCCACACTGACTGGCCTCTCCTCAGTTTTGTTATAATACAGGATCATCTCTCCCATCAGGACCACCAACTTGTACTGCTCCTTCCAGGGCTGCAGCACGAAGTGGCCCGGATGGCAGGCCACCGACACATACATGTCTATGTTTTGCCCCAAGGGTGGCAGTTCTAGCATCGGGGGAAGCTGGAGATCAGGGGCGTGCTGGCTGCTCCTGAGCTGAGGGCTAGCCCTGCCGTCACTGGGGAGTGTGGCCGGGCGACTGGGCTTCTTGCCAGGACCACGGCTGCCCAGAAACACATCCTTCTGATGCTTCCACAGGTCCGTGTCAGCGACCTGCTGGTTGACACTACGTCCCGTGTCGTAAAAGTCCTTGGAGGTGAACAAATAGATGTGCACTAGTCTTTTGGCCTCATCCACTTTAGCGATCTGTTAGGTGAAAGATGTTACACAAAGATTAATGTGTTCCATTTCTGAAGTTAACCAAGGCTGAATAACTGGGAAAACAAAACAATATTCTTTTTCACTTTTGCTCTGTAAGTCCCTATAAGTTTCTGCAATTACATTCTGATTTTCTGCTGTACTATACCGACTTATACTACAGCTGACCACTGAGCGTCACCACAAGTTGCTTATGCAAATGTAATCCAAGTCACCGTAGCATTCCCAGGGACACGGGAGGCTAAATAGAATGAGCCAGGGAGAAAGTCACGTGACTGGATCCTGACAGTTCCAGTCACATGATGCTTTCAGGCAGGGCCTCACAGTATCATCATAATTATGACTCATCATCCTTTATTGTACCATTGGGGAAAGAGTTTAAATGGTATTATTGGAATTAGCGATGGGTGATCCACATTTTTTCAGTTCCGATCCGATTCCAATACACAATTGCTGATACCGATACAGATTCCGATACAAGAGCTCTTTTTACTTTGTTATACTTTATATATTAATTTTTTTTAAGCTAGTAAATACAGATGGAAAAAATGTATGACAAAAAATATTTAATTAGGCTACTACAAACGTACATAACGTACTGTTCCACCTTGTTTGTTTTAAGCGTTTTTGAGGCATTTGCAGTTCAATATTTTCAAAGCAAGTATACACAAGTGGCGAATGCTTAAAATTTTAACACACTTTTTCTCCCATTGGCTTCAGCGCAGTTACACTTTGTTGCGATGGCAGCCCCTCTTGTATCACAAGCTGCAGCGAATTCGCAAAACAGTCCAATTAAGTTAGCGACTCCCAAATCATCCATTGCTTTGTTTTGTCTCGCAGTTGCGTGTGCTTTAACTGGGATTGTCCATTAAACGCTATTCCCACCTCAAAACTTTATTTTACATAGATTGCAAATCGCTGTGCTACTGGTTTCTGTTAAAAGTGTAAAATACTCCCAGATCGTCACATCTTATCTTACACTCCTCGTACTGCGAAGGGTATGCGCATGACATCACAGCAGGCAGAAGTCACTGTACTCACACCCACTGAGTAGCAAAAAAGACTGAGGGGCAGCGTTAGCGTTCGATTTGAATGCCCCAAAAAAACACATGTAAAATGGGAAAGAGCTGTTGTGCGACTGATTGCCAAAAACTAAATAAGTATAGGACATGGATCGGTCACGCATGGCCGATACCTGATCCGTCAAATAGGTCTGGATCGGCATTGATACCGATCTGAATATCGGTATCGGTGCATCTCTAATTGGAATGACAAAATAGCTCATGAACAACTGGTTCATTTACCAAGTAAATAGCAGCCTCTGGTTATATATGCTAAATACTAGTGATGGCCAAATGAAGCTTCATGAACCAAATGCTGTATTTTCTGGTACCACTAGATGGTGCTCCCCATTCAAAAAATGGCTCAATTCATGCCCCAAAGCAAACCAAGAGCACTATCTAATGGGGGCCAAAAAAAATACAGAAAATAGTTCACGAAGTTTCATGTGGCCCATCACTACTAAATACACATCATTTGGTTTATTTGGGAAAGAGGACAATGAGGGCCCTTGGTAAATATAGCCTAGCATAGATGTGATACAGAGGCATTGTGGGTACAGAGCACATGCAGACGCACAACACTGATACAATGGGAGTACTGGCCTTGATGCTGCACTCCGTGGAGCCCAGCACAGCATCCCTCAACCAAAGCACGGCATCTGGGGTCCAGGAGCCCACCTCGAGTGGCAGCCCGGTCAGACTGCACTTCAGAGCCTGCCGGGGAGAGAAACCCTTCACAGTCATGGCCGGGGATGGGGGCAGAGTCACCATACAGGACCAAGGTCACATGCCAGCACAGCCACTGACTATTGCTGATTACTTAGCCACAAGAGATACATACCCCAATACAGATTATGGGATGATCATAGTCATCGCTATACCTGCTCATGAAGAGCCCAGTAGAGCTTTTGGATTTACATAATACCTCCGGAATAACTGGAGGCCAGAAGGTGACTGATAACCGACTACTTTCCAGTGCCTTACTGAAATGTTCATATTCGAGTAACTTGTACCCAAAACCCCCAATTAATTTGATGTCACATACTGTAAGAACATAAGAAATTTACAAACGAGAGGGGGCCATTAAATGACAGCTGACCCCAGTCCCCCAAGAAATAGGTAAATAGTAATAAAACACAGAAAGGTTGTACTGATAATTCTGACAGCCTGGCGATCAGGCTGCCCAATTAGCCTCCATGTCACAATCAGCTTACCTGAGGTGGGATGGCTACAAGCTCCCGCAGGAAGGGGGGCGGGACCTCCCGCAGCTCAATGACCTCCACTGAAGCGGGGACACCCACGTCCACAAACTGGATGTCCAACACACGGCTGCCGTGCAAGTTGGTGATCTGGGACAGGACGACAAGGCGTATCTCCTATAGTGCCATTTGTACGGCTACATTAAAATACAAATCATACAGTAGGCCGCCTGTATCTGCAGTTTACCTCAGTCCAAAAAAAAAGTTAAATACGTAACAGCATGTTTTTTCATTATTTCTTCGTCCTTTGAGGGGTATAAAAAGCCTGATTATATTGCTCATTTATTTGTTGATACATGATAGAGCAATGAAAAAATATCTCTCAAGAATTAGGCTAAAATGTTAGAATCCCTTTTATTCGAGAGCACAGTACTGTATAATAAAGTATAATGTACTTTATTACTACTGTATTTAATGTTGTTAATGTCTCACTGTGCGTAATTTATCAGTTGCCATATGTATGCACAGGAAAATCACAGTATAAGTGAGGTCTGCGGATGGTTCACTATTATCCACAATTTTGGCCATCCACGGTAGGTCTTGGAACGCATTACCCGCAAATATGAGGGGATCACTGTATATAGAATGCCCCCTTTCTATGTGCATGGGAAAATAAGTGTGTAAAACAACAGGTAAGCTATTTCCTCTGTTTGCAGTGCCCCCCCAATAGGATTGCTCACCTCCACTCGAGACCATTTGCCTTTATATCGGGCCAGACAGAATTTTCCGCAGAAAGGCCTGGACACCAGAAACTCTGACGTCACCTGGCACACAGGAGAACAGGTCAGACCAACAAGTGATCAAACTTGACTGTAATTCAAACACCGCCAAAAGGACTTGGAAGAACGTCTGAGGTCAAAAATCACCCTCGAGCAATTTCACTGTACCATGCTGCCAAAGAAACGACCCGGACGCAGAGAAATGCTGTGTACTCGACAGTACAGACTGCTTCCCGTCGATCAAAACCGCAAATCCCAAATCGAGATATTGAACATACAATGAACAATGAACATACAATTTGAACAAGAGAAGCGTCTTGTTCAAATTCAACAGTATGAGCTCAGCAAGATGTTACTGGTTTTTGCAGATGGGTTAGTTCCAGTGTGACCTGAGAGATTATTTCGCCTGCAGTCTCACAGCTTATTAAGGGTATTAACATACCCCATCTGTCTATGCTACATCCACTGCCTGGCCGGCATAAACCTCTGCCGGCCTAAGACCGTGTGCTCGGTCGACGCAGGGCCTAAAACATCTCTTACCTGGGAGTGAAAGTAGGCCTCAGTCTTTTCCAACATTTCTGTCAACTTGGCAAGACCACGTGACGACAACTGGCAATAAATGCTTCCATCAGAGCAAACGTTGGTTACACTGACGTGCATGTGGGTGCTGTTGACCTTCAGAGAAAGCACATACGGTGAAATGCCCCGATACAAAAAAAAAAGACATTAAGCAACGGCTTCTAAACGTGTCATATTAAAGATTCAGGTGACACGTTGGGAGACGATGAAGACTGCCAAGTTACCTCTAAGGTGTTCTCCAAAGACTTGTCCTGCAAGGCTCTCATACAAGCAGCGTTGATGTTGACATCATCATCTTGTGAAGTATCATACAGCACAACCAGGGGTGTGTCCCCCCTCTCCAGGATCTCAGCCAAGAGGATCTTTCCACAGGCCATGGTCTCAAACTTCTTAATCACTGGAGGCTCCTGGCAAAACGGCTCTAAGCCTGAAAGCACCCATTTCACTCAGCTGAGAACTATTTTATAAAGTGGCTACTTGCCACCCAAGATCACAGACACATGAATAATTTAACAAGAACAGCACATCATCTAATAAAAGCTTTCAGTTAGTACTTTCTTAAATCCCTTCCACAAGTTAATTTTTGACTGATTTTTTTTTTTTTTTTAATCAGATAAACATGTTAATTCTGCTTGAGTCTACGCTTTGCCTCTTTATTAAACAAGCTTTGCATAAAAAATATTTGAATGTTAGCACACCTCCCCAGCCCCTTGAAATTTCCCCTTCTCTGTTTAAAAAAAAAGGGATATAACATATACAGCTCACCTGCTAATTTGCATTTAGTGGCCTGGAATGGCAGTCTGAAGAACTTTGGATGTAGTTCCAAAAGTTTGCCAGTGTTGATCACTTCAGAAAACCCGTGATCGACATAAAACACCTGCCAATGAAAAGACTGTAAGCACCCTGACTCAAGGCAGAAGCCGAGGCACGGGCTGGGAGCAGAGGCCCAGTACACTGGCTCTCACCTTGGCCTTGTCACCCATGATCTCATACACTTGTGCGCGGAGGAATTCCTCCTCTTCCTCAGCCTTGACGGCAGCCAGCTGCCCAAGAGCCAGAGGAGAGAGGCGCTTCCTTGTGCTGTCCTGACCATAGAACTCCCGCATTTCATCCTCCAGGGACTCCTGAGCCTGGGAGTAGTCCTTACCAATAAATCTGTGAAGCAACAACAACCATGCAGACCATTTGAATCAACTTCAATGGGAAATCTTCAATTAAAAACGTTACCGTATTACCAAAGCGCTGAAATTCACACTGCTAGGACCCTACCACAAGGTTTTCCCCACACCCGTGCATCCATGCACTAGGGCTGCACGATTGTGGAAAAAATGTGTATTGCGATTCTTTTGCCTAGTATTGAGATCACGATTCTCCGTAACAATTTTTTTTTTTCTCTTAAATTTAAACATTTATTGCACTCAAATTGCAACAGGGAACACATCAAAACATGACTGTGCCAAACATATGATTGATCCAGGACTGGCATATCAACTTCTGACAACAGAAGAATGCAGAATTATGGAACACTTGAGACTCCGGGGAAAAGTAGGAGTGCTTGTTTTGATCTAGCTGATGTAATATAATGCAGAAGAACCGTTGTAATTTCGAAATGAGATCTGCCAATCGAGATTTTTATTTATTTTTTTATTGTGCAGCCCTAGCACGCACATGCACGCATGCACACACACACCTCACCAACCCGCAAAGCAGACAGCTCTTTTAAATCTACACACTCACATACATGACAAAGATGTATGAAGTGTGACATTTGGTGGCAGCTCTTGGTACAGCGATACCGAATAACCCAGTTTTGCTGCATGACAGGTATTTGAATAACTAGCTGATCCTCATCATAACAAGTCTAACAAATTTTAAACATAAGTAAAACTGCAAAATGATAAAGGTCCTATAAGCCGAACTGTAGCTCAATCAATCATGGGCTTGCCTGAGAGTAACGCTGACAGTGCTGGCCACTTCCACCACCAATACAGACGGGTACTCTTCCTCAGGAATTAGGAGAGGGGGTACGGCACTGGGACGGCGAAGCACGTCTTGAGTTGTCTGTGACACGTGCTCTGGCACCACGCGATTCCGATTTTCGTCTACATCTCGCAGAGGGTACAGGATGGCCTTCTTGAGGTTGTCAGGCATTGGATAGTTAACAGTACAGATGTCCTCCAGGACACTGAGGTCATCGAGAACATGCTCGGGGAACCGGATTTTGTAAGTCTCCTGAAAGAGCTTAGGCAGAGCGTTGGCCCAAAGCCCATTGCTGTACTTAGCTAGCAGCTCGCCCAACTTGACCTTGATATCCGGGCTTAAACCCACGGGGGACGACGGGGGAGAAGACAGTGAGGAAGTCGATGGAGAGACCCCGGGGCACATGGAGCTGGACTGATTCCGCATGCTGGGAGATGGCTTGGGGGACGAGGTGGAAGATGGGGACGAGCTGGGTCTGGTCTTGGGCACCTCTTTAGCAGGGTAGAGCAACAGCTCTGCCGGATTGGTGCTACATGGCTTCTCTACCTACACCAAAACAGGTCAGGCACACAGGCCAAACAGCCCTGAATTTCACAAAGAAAGACCTTTCATTCTTCTGATTCAGTTAGTGATCAGCTTGTATGTAAGTTTACATTTACAATTATTTTTATTTTGCAGATATTTTCATCCAAAGCAACATAAGTAAGGAAAGCTTGGGGTCAAATAGCAGAGTCGACCAGTTCCCCTCAAGTAGTAAGAGTTAAGGGCCCTTCTCAAGCACTCAAAGGTGAAATGATTCCTGAGCTAGGCACAGGATTCAAACCCATAACCATCTAGACACAAGTACAGATTTCTACACACTGCACTGTAAGTCGAAACAATATTGTGTAAAGGAGCTTGCTTTGGAGAATTTAGTCATTTGGAACCTTATGTACACCTTTCCAGAAGGTACATTGACAAGAATAATTTAGACACCCTGACACTGATTCAAACTCACCAAACAGACATGAGACCACTGCTCAAGGTCTTTGAGTGCCTCTGTGGGCAGCTCCTGCTTGTACAGCTCACGGTAGAGCTGAGGCAGCTTCGACACCCAGAATCCATTGCTGTATTTATTCAGAATATCCCTAAGACGGTTCTGGACCAACTGCTGATTGTAGCCACTGGACTGGAGTGGTCTGGACTTCCCAGGAGGGACATTCTGGTTTATGTTAGAGGGAGCTGCAAGACAATGAATAGGGCCGAAATGTCTGAAAATGTATCAAGGGATGATTGACAAACACTGGAATTCATTTAGACCAGTGTTTCTCAGTCTGGTCCTCGGGGACCCATAGCCAGTCCACATTTTTGCTCCCTCCCAGCTACCTACCTGGAGCTGGGAGGGAGCAAAAACGTGAACTGTCTGTGGGTCCCCAAGAAGCAGATTGGGAAACACTGATTTAGATAACTGACTAAAGCAACAAAAGTTGATTGAAGACAAAATAGCAGTGACCAAAAAAACCCAGGGGATCAAGTCCTTTTACCTACCATGATTTCTGCTGATTTTATTGCAGAAGAAAAATAATTTTAGGAGCAGGCTGCTGTTGTGGTCATAACAGGCCAATGTGATGTCACATGTGCACACTCTCTCACACGTACACACATGAGATGCCCCATCATGTTAATCTTACCACTGGTCTGCGGAAGATTCCTGGACAGGGTCAAATGTACCTCCTTCTGAAACTTCACGGGTAGGGTTATCTTCTTGTCGTACCTAACAGAAAGATAGGATAATCAGTTATGTGGTGAGTGGAGGTACAAAGCCACCACTGCAGGCTGTAGCGAAAGATGTCCAACATAGCCACAGGTATTTTGTGATCTTTACTAAACCTTAAGTTGAGGTTCAAGTATCTTTTGCACTTATGCAAGCAATGAATAAGACTCACCTAAACAACCTGTTTTCTGGATTATGGGAGAAAACTGGAGCGCCCAGAGGAAGCCCACACAGAGCGAATCAGGGGGTGATTCAAGGCCCATCCAGCATGCCTGTGACTCACATCAACACCCTGCTATATTTCCCCTATGCACTGTTGGGCAACGTTTTATGGGCCATTTCAACAATTCTTTATTCATATTTATGACACACACACACAAAGCTCTGCAAGCACAATTTCTGCTTGTACATTTCCTTAAACTTAATTTACATTTGCCTATCAATTAACATTAAAATTCAGCTGGTCCACAGCAGCTCATTGGATTTATAAACCAGTACCTGAAACCTGCATTTTAATGTAGGAGCCTCAGAGAGCGAGAAACACAGGAGTGCCTTGAACAGGACTTTAAATGGTTATCGAACATGCTCTCTGCCCTCTACCCCAATACCACACTCATGACAATCTTCCAGAACTCTTCCTCCCTAGGTTGTAAAGCCATTTTTCCCATTTAGCTGGTTCCCATCGGGACTCTCTAACCCACCATAAACAAAAACAAATCACTGAACCACCAACTAACACTTCTGTGGTCTTTAAAATTAAAGTTGCATGAGGTAAAACGACCAGGAGGGACATTTTTCCTGTCCTACAGTACAACATTACCCTCTATACAACAGACCTCTGCAGAGGGACAAAGAAATTTAACAGCTTACAAGACAGCTAGAAACCCAAAAGGAACGTTATTTATTGCTGATTTAGGTAGGCTTGTGGCTTTGGATACGGCCACAACTACACGCAATGACTAGAAAGCCAGCTTCTGCACCGGCCCTGTGATGTGCTGATTCACAGGATATCGATACAGGACAGTTTCTCACTATGTTAAATAGAGGGATTACAGACCCTTTGTCATGCTTTCTGATGGACCTTTGTTTTTCTGCTGCTCAGGGAAATGCGCCCCATTGTATCTTTCGGGCACCTCCTACAGCGGGTCGGATAGGGTACCCCAAACAATATACCCAAAACAGCCAGTGAGGTCAGTTGCTTTCTCTAGCTGGGGACCGTGCCAGGCTATAAAGGCACCCCCCCCCACCCCCAGCGTGACATGCTGAATAAGCAGGACAACGGCAGTGCAGGGGGGTTCCAAACTCATTAAGGGTGTAAGTGTGTAAGAGAGGGACTCAGCCAGGTTCCAAATTGGGCCCAATTTCTGTTGGGGGGCCTGGTGCCATCATCAAGCCTCATTGCCTGCTGTCTGGGAACAGCTAACCTTCACTGGTATACAGAAAGTTGAATAGCAATAGCAATCTGGGGAAATCGCACAGGGAGACAGCCAGGAGGAGTGTACCTTTAGGTTTACACCCAGGTTATTCTCGTTAATCACAATGTAAGTCCTGTGTAGGAGGGACATGAGCCAAGTCTGAATTTTATTAAAGTATGGACCAGGCTGTAGTTCACTGACAGTAAAAACCAAGTGGAAATAAAGCTATATCTCCAAGTGCAAAGTTCATGCACTGCTCCAGACCAAAACCAGAACCTGCTCAGCAGATCACCAACTAATTCTCTGTACTGCGACATGTGTGCCTCACTTCCACACCAAGAGTCAACGATGATCTGTATGCCCCACCGCAACAGGGACAGCTCCATCTAACTGTCCCATTTCATTGGGCTACAGGGGTTTCCAGACACGGCCAGAGCGTGCGAATGCACAGTGGCTGTTGCACACGAAATACCGGGAATGGGGCTATCAAACCCATGGCATCAGGGAGTAGAGCAATTGAAAAGGTCTACTTGTCAGCATTCCTGTCAGAGCAGCACCATCAGGGATCCACTCCAGTTAGCCTAATGAAGACCAGAGAGGCTTTTGCAAAATGTGGAAACTTGCAAATTCCTCTCGTATTACCCTGACATCAACAGATACCTCAGCTCAAAACACTCAGGGGCAAGAACTACAATAAACTCAATATGGTTCAGTGAGACCAAGGGTCTTTAATTCCGGTCCTAGAGCGCTGGTCAGTCAATTGGACTTTCAATTCCAATTGAGCAATAAAGTAATGTACTGAGCTAATTATGTCCCTAGTTGAATCTCTTTGGCCTTCTCTTACCGTACTGCAGCTGTCAGTGGTTCTGGAACATTAAAATCAAAGAGTCAGGAGTTTGGAATCAACATAAGTTGGCAAGGTACTGTTCATCATTCTAAAGAATAAGATACTACTGGGACATGTAGAGACAAGCATTTTGAGTAGGTATGGGGGAAATGAAGCTTAAAAACAGGCACTTGGGGGGGAATGACCAACTGCATCATAAAGTAATCAATGAGAAGCAGGCTGACAGCAACCAAACTGAAGCCTCTCTCTTCCATCACTGGAGTACTGAATGCTTGCTTTTCCATTTCAGGAGTCAAGGTCAAAGAAATAATGCATTATTTCTAAGGTGCATCTGACAAAATAATTCAGCCATATATACATACTAAAAACAAATACTAAAAAAATGCATAATAATGTTTTTCCACAGTATTGGTCAATAATCACCCACCAATTGCACCCAAGATGGATTGCACTACCGTGTTTCCAAACTTAGAGAGAGAAACGCAAGAGTGCCCTTGCAAATTCCTTCATGTTGCTCTGACAGGAACGCATGTGTTCACTCTGAAAAGGTGACAACGCTAACGAAGCCAGGTCTGTCTAAATTCACATCTAGGAAGGTTGCCATATGCTTGATGAGTTGTCCTCCTTGTATAACTCAAATAATTTCATGTGTATACAGGTCTTAAAGAGGAGGTCTATACAGGCACTCAGTTGCCTGTTTTTATTGACAATCATTCTCTGGGACCTTTCAGAGCCTTTAGAAACAAGAGAGAGCAGTGAAGCATCTTTAAATCTAGCTGCATATTTCCCAGTCCATAAGTGAGACGTGTAATGCAGCCCACACCCAGTTAGGGTTAGTAGAGGTTAGTATTAAATCACTTCCTGTGAGGAATTTTGGGGGGAAAAAAAAACAGTAATTGTCTGCTGTAGTGCAATCTTTTAGACTATCAGATAACAAGTAGGCCTTTTAAGCTGAAGATCATCAGGAAGAGGTATCACAGACTGTTCCCTTCACTCACTTGTCACCCGGTATGGGAGGCTTCCTTATCTGAATTGGGGGGGCCTTGTTCTGGGCAGCGCTGACCCGCCCGTCAGGTTGGGTGTCCCTCATGGATACCTGCCGGAAGTCCCCTGGGCCCCCGAGACGGCTGCTCAAGGACAGGCGTGTCATTCCCTGTCCAGCATGACCCATGTGGTCTGGCTGGCGAAGGGATGTCCTCGGCTTGGCTGCAGAAGACGAAATATAGAAGGGGACATTATGTGGAGTGCTGGCACAGCATGGGCATACTCATAACTATACTTGTGGAGAACTGACACTCCTTATAATGTAGTTAATCTATCCATCCATTGTCTGTACCTGCTTCACCTATTAAGGTTTGCGGCGGGTTTGGAGTCCATCCCAGAAGCTAACTCCAAATTAAATGTCAAATTTCTGCAATAGCATATTTAAAAATAAAAAATACATTTTGAAATCTCCAAGAAAGGCAAAATTTCATTCCCACGAAATACCACACACTAGGGGTGTGCGATTTGACGATATTACATCGTAAACTATTAAAATGTGTCCTCGATCTGCCTTTACGGAGAGATTGTTAGTATTGCGTTACAGAGCACATTCTATTAGATGCAGTTCTACGGTACATACACGCATCCAAGGCTGTTTTGACAGTCAAATTCATTTCGACACACCAATCAACTGGTAATAGGAGCATAGCTAAAAGTATGTAGTGCCTTGGATTTCATCCTCTCTCATCCCAAGATGCAACGTGCAACATACAACACATTCCCTATTTGGCAATGCGCTGGTATGGACAACATGGAGGAGTTGATTCCTAAAATTCAACATTTGTAATATGGAACTTCCTTGGATTTTCCAAAACTGACGCGGCACAAACAGTGATTTGCAAAATGACAAACCTTTCTTACCACCTCAAAAGAAAACACCTGAAACAATGTTGATTATGTTTTTATTTTCAATTTTGTTACCTTATAAGGCTATATTTTTTGGTTGTACTGTTCAGTTGTACTGTTCAGTAAATGGCAAGAGAGTCTTAAAAACCAACATAAAAAAGAATCATAAGATCGTGATCCTGCCTGAAAAAAATTATTACAAAAAAAATGTAAATGTAAATTGCATGCAAGTGAAGGACCAAAAACACCTAAAAAGACAAGTAGTCATTTTAAGCAGCAGCACAAGATGCAATAACAGAGCACCAGCAATACATCACCTTTAAGAGCTGACAAGTTTTTTTTTTTTTTTAGAAAAAAAAAAACCATTTCACAGTCTGAGGCTGCAAGAGAGAGCATGAAATCAGCTGACTGCAAACTGTCAGTCCAGCAGCATCCCAGCAGTACTGCTGCTCTGTGCTCCCGTCGGCCCGGTGACAAGCTCAGACTAACCCCCCCTCCCAATATAAAAACACAAATAAATCGCCTCTGCCTGCCACGGTCCTACAAGTACTACCCACTGAAATGCTTGTTTGTTCACCTTCCCTCTGTGCACTGGGGCTGGCAATCAGACAGGATGATTTTACAGTCTTGATTTAAGAGCAAAATCGATAGCGCTTTCCAATGAACCACAAAAGCACAGCGAGGGACGGGGCAGCTTGGGCCGCCCCCAAACGCTACACTGGCAGACAGGCAAGATTCTCCCCAAAAAGCAGCAAACACAGACATCCTCCTTTTTGCTGCATCACACCCGATCGGAAATGTCATTACCAAGCTGTGTGATATCCAGGCAACAGCGACTGAATGGAGCATCTGGCCTCATACCAGAACTTTATTCATAAGTTCCTGTACATTGGCAAATCCCTCAAAGGAACATTGAAATAGGACAGATTCCTGTACTAGCTATTTTCGTACCTAAAGTTGCACCAGGAACTATTGCATAATGCACAGTAAATTATTAAGTTTGATTTTACTTCACCTGGAGGCACTATTCTGGCAATATAACAATGAAATTCAAAGTCTGGCATCAGTACCCCAGATAGGAATGTAAACAGTCACTCGCTACTTCCTCCTTAAAACTGCAGTCCAAGAAACTTCATATTTATAGCGTCAAGGTACAAATAAAATTTTAAGATGGTATAAGGTATGTACCAGTGTGATTAAGGTGTTGATAGGTTAGACCAGTGGTTCCCAAACTGGGGGGCGCAGAGGTATTGGGGAGGGGCGCACCAATGGGATAGCCTCAGGGGCATGTGCCACCTTAAAATAATCTCTTCACAGACTGGACGATTAAACAAATAAAGCAGCGCAACATTACAGTAACAATAAATAAACCACTAACTTACGTGTACTATTAGAGCATTTATGTAATTTATTTAAACTTTATTTTACCAGGTAAATTAATTGAAAACCAGTTGATATTCGGGAGAAATAGCAGATAACAATTTGGAACTTCCGGGGATACAAGCTTCATACAAACGTCACGTTCTTCAGTCAATAAGGGAAAAGTTGTGTCGTCACGGACGCTGTTCCAGTTTGTTCAGCTGGCTGAGAGGTGCTGTACGATCTGTCTTAAGTCATCTTGCTCTTGCAAGGTTTTTGTACCACGTGACATGGTGACGCATGACGACGTTTTGCAGCGCCAGACAAAAAAATATAAGCACATCATGAAAAACGAGGTTTAAAATTTTCTACATGAAGTGCAGGGAGAGTATCAATTAATGGGTATGATTTAGTGTTGTTTCGTGCTATAGTATAGGCTGAAACCTGCGGTTATCATTAAAAACAAAATGCAGTAATCGTAAGACAAACTTTAATTTGTGTACGCCAATGAATATTAACAGGAATGTTAAATCTGCATTTGCATAATTTCAAATTTATGCTGGACTTTTATTTTTAATTGATTGCTCTTTTTTCTCCCACAGTGGAGAAATTGCACCATTTGTATTTTGTAATTGCATTTGTTTCGCTCAATTAGAAAAGGGGGTTGTATTTCAAATAAAGTTTGAATCTGAACCTGTGTAGTTTGAATGGGGGGGGCTCAATAATGTTCCTATCTAGAAAAGGGGGGCCCTGCAGAGAAAGTTTGGGAACCACTGGGTTAGACAGACTTCAACAGTAGGACCTTGATTGATTAAGTACTACCAATAATCACTCATGCAGCACAAACTTAATGTTGGTACTGTTGCAATTGTTTTTACAGTGCAGGATTACATGCGAAGAATTTGTCTGACAGCTTTTTGGAAAAGCGATGTTGAAAGTCTCATCGCGGATGAGATTTTTATTAAGTAGGCAACACCTTTCCAGTGCCCCATTCCCAGATGTCTATAATGGATCACTAAATCCATCTCAAAGCCACACACAAGTGTCACTATGAGATGCATCACAGCGACAAACAAAAACTTTGAAGCATCTTTTAAACAACGGTTTAATTCTCCACCAGCTAACGCCCTGCGATACTTGTGCTGAGCTTCTGTGGAGTCTGGAGTTTGCTATACAGGCGTGGCAATAAAGCACTGGGATTTCGCACAAGCCCGTGTACCATAGCACAGCACTACCATGGCGAAAACAAGTGGATGCAGTCTGCAATCACTGCACTCTGGGCTGCATCCCATGCCAGTAATGAGGCTGAAGAGGATACATTTGAAGGCGTAAGAACTGCATGGGTCTGCCAAAACCTACAGCCCTTTCAGCACTCAATTCAAGTCATATATTTAGGCTTTTATGGACTTCAGTTCATCTAGCTCAAAATCCAATTTACAAATCTATGCTGAACCACTTCAATGCATTTAGTTGTATGTGCAGATCTGGATGCAAAAACGAGAGCCATCGCAGAAGGGATCCTTCTTCACAGCAGATAAAAAATAACTCATCTCAACCCAAAGTGCCAACTGCTACACAGCAGGCTCTTTTATCAGCTGATAAAGACACAACAGCATTTCAAACCACCCTGACTGCAGAATGCACTGACAGGACATTCCCAACAGGCAGGTAGCAAAGACATACGGTGAGCGGAAGTGTACCGTTCAACATGAAGGGTGTCGCTGGTTTCACCCTCATCTGGCAGTTGACAAGCAGGGGGCGGCCAACCTTCTTGGCGTTGCGTTGGCGGGCCACCAGCTGAGCGATGTGGGCCGTCTCCTTGCATACCGCCGCAAAGCAGACCACCTGAGGCAGGGGAGGTGAGAGGACCCTGGGCGTGTTACCAGCACATTGCCTTGCTGCAAATACAGGCCATCTGGCTTTGAAAAAGTGTCGCCCTCTGATCATTTCATGGCATTATTTTATCCAAACAAAACTTTATCTATTAGTAATGAGCATTAATTTAGCAACCTTGCCCAGGGGTACAATTACAGGGTGCTCCCAAAGACTTGAGCCTACAACCTTCTGGTTACAGTCCATTACCTTAACATACTGACTAAGAGAAATCATTACGCAAAAGATTCAACTCCTACCCACTGTTACTGCACTGACCAGACGGCAGGTTTTGAGAATCATATGGTCCGGCTACAAAAACAACAGACGCTTCTAAAAACCATCTGGATCACCGAGAGCTACAAAACACAATCTAATCCAGCATAACAAATAGTAGCCAAAATAATAAAGAGAAAGAAAGAAAAAGCTATTCTTCCTCTGCTATCAGCCAAATTAAGTCATACCTTCCAGTAGTATCTTAAGACAAGTTCGGAATATGGTGTGGTTTATCTGTCTGAGAGACAGCCATCTGCTGTAAGTTCAATGGTAAACTGTACCTGTACCATTTCACAACACCTCTAATGACTTTAATCACACCAGCCATCTGCTGATCGAAAACTAAAATGGTGCCTTTCATCAGAGTGCCAGCCATCAATTTCAGGAGGTCCCAAGCCAGCACATGTCAAGGTAGAGTATGGGGGTTGGGGTGTTCATGCACATCTGTATAAACCTCTTACAATAGTAGGCAGCAGAACTTTCTGGAATGCCAGAGCCTTCTGTTAAAGTGACCATGAGGGAACTGGTAAGGCCAGACAAACCGGTTATGTCAAACTGAGGATCAGCTGAATCTGGGTAACAGAATGACGAGCTGGCAAAAATACCAGTCAGCCCTGTGATCCCAACTCTGGACCAGAGCCGGCCCCGCTGGAGAACAAGGCATCTGATCTATGGTGACTCAGTGCCTGTCAGTCCAGTGGGATGTAGGTCCTGCTCACCTCTCCTGTCCGGCTACGTTCCATCTTGACCACCGACGGCATGCTGTTCAGGAAGCTGTCCAGCGAGGGATAGCCCATCTGCTTGTAAGGGATAAACTCGCCCGTCAGGGACTTGTACTCGGACTGCAGCCGTGACAGCGACACGCCATTCTTGTTGGACTGCAACACAGCCCTGAGCATCTTCTTCAACAGCTCCACATCCGACATCCTGGAGGACACCAACGACATCTCCGTGCTTAACATCTGTAATGAGCTCTGCAATGGCCACAATGGCTGTTAAAGGCTAGCATGGGCACTCTGTATTCATACTGATCAAGGCCTAGAAATCGTGTTTGTTAAACTTAATTTAATTAAGTAAGTAAATGTATATTATGCTCACTCTGCTTTATACAATTTATGTAATAAAATTTCAGTTCTATTACAGGTTTTGTGAATACCTCAGGATCGTTCTTTCAAGCTGCCCTGGTCCTTGCCCAATGTTTTATTACTACAGTCGACTAACTGCAATTTTTTTTTCCAGCGTCTAAATACATGTAATAAAGTTACTGACAAGTAATCCCAAGTTATTATTATTATCTACCACTCGAAAATAAAACTTAGGCTCGCAGGGGGTAAAGTTCCTGTGGACCATTAAGCTCAGTTTCCTCGTAGGAGCCCTGCAAACATCTTACACTCGGTTACAACTAATCCCACGTCTACACTTTTCAAACTTGCTTTAAAAAAGTTCTCAAATTAAAACGCGCAATAAAATAACCGCGCAACCGACTTAGCAATAAGCAAACTGCAGCATCGCCATAACAAAGTCTGTCGTTATTCTGTTAAGCAAGCCAAACAACGGGCTGTCATGGTTTATTTGTCAGTAATTTACCCCTTTATCTTCGAAAACACAGACTTTAATGCCGTCGAACGAGAATAAACAGGGGAAACGATTCACTTTTGTTTTTGGAGACGGAGAGTATTAAACTCCTCGGTGATCAGCGAAAACCTGTCGCTGCGTTTTGGCCTCATCCTAAATAAACACACATATATATCATTCCATTTTCCTAGGGCGAGACCAGGACCAAAATATTACATAATAGCGTGTACACGGGCGAGAAATGAAACTATACTGTAAACGAAACCGAAAATTGATCATTATTATAGCTATCGGTATTAAAGAAATCAGGCTTCGTGTGAGTCACTTGAAGCGCGCGGGCTGTCCATAGAAATGTCAGTTGGTTTAATTTGAATAAATTTCTTCTTTCTGGTTTGGTTTTTGCTTAATTAGTTAATTTGACCCGATTTCGCGGGACTGGAAGCCGGGAGAGACTGCGCCTTTACTGTCTCCCGGACGCTTCGCTCCGGTGTAAACGCAGCAGCTCCGGCGCTAAAAAGCGACGCGCTTAACGGTCAATATTCGATAAATAACAAACACAAGTGCGCTGTTATAAAAGAAAGGAAAATATCTGTCCGAGTACGGCTGGGTAGCAGCCCGCCGCCCTGCGCCTACCTGCCCCGTTCGCTCTGATCCACACTGCTACCCCAGTTACCTGCGCCGTGTAACTGGGGCACTCGGTACCGGAGACGCCAGCCTTCCGCCCTCCGCCTCCCTAATGCCGTCAGTCTGCGGCGGCGTCGGCGGTGCCACAAACGGGCGCGTCGGACCGCGAGCGGACGCGTACGTCTCGGTGATTTAATGCGGCGGCCCGTCCGAACACTTTCGCCAAACTTTCTCACCTGTGCTGGGGCGGCGAGGGAGAGATGCACTCCCGTCACTTTTGCTACGGTTGTCAGGTTCGCCTCGTCACTCGCCGCTTCGTTTGCCGTCTCCCCTCGCACTGCTCCGCAGACGCTCGCTTTGACCGATTCACCGGCGCCGGTCAGACCGCTGTGAAGTAGCCGCCAGGGCGCAGGCGCTGCGGCTGGGCTGGCACTGCGGCAGCGGGCGGCTGTTTGGGATCGATCGCGGCTTGAATTGCCGGGTTGCCAACTCTCGCGTGTCCGGCGTGACACGCATGCAGAAATCTTACAGCAAGTCTATATTATTATTCCATAATAAACTTAAAATTAGCCACATCAAAGGCGCTGGGGTAGTTTGCAAACCATACGGACTATTTGCAAGGTAAACTGTTACATACAGTACAAGTAAATGCGTGTATATCTGTGTGCGGACTGGTCTCGAATTGAAAATCTCATTCCAGCCATCTGACCAAAGTTGGCAACCCTAGAATGAACCACACCGCTCCAGCCCACAGTGCAGCTGAAAGCCCCATACCGTTAACCTTTGCGTAATCTCACTATGCTGATGACAACGAGGACAAGTGGAGAGCAGAGACGCTGTAATATCATCTCGTTAGTTTTAGGTTTAATCTTACCTGATTCTAATTAGATATATCCTGGGGTTTACTAAAACTTCAAGTTAGCAACTAAATTCTAATTGCACTTTTACCTGTAAATTCATAGCATTCAAACTCTTATCGGTGTATTCTCTGTACACACTTTATTGTTTAAAATAATGTGAATGACTTACACTTAATATAATTCAGCTTCATTTAGGCATAGCTGTGAAAATAGTTCTTCAAATCCAGTAGGCTACTTTACATGCGTACATTTATGTACACAGAAGAGAATTTTATCCCAAGCAGGGCTGTACAGTGACTTTTCGAGGGGTAGACGCCTCCCCAGTAAAATTTGCTGACTGGGGGGGTCCCTCAGTAAAATCTGCACGATCCAAAACGTACTTGGCATCAGGGGTGCCATGGGGGGGGAGTTAGGATGACTCCAGGGAACCTAGAAAATTTGGAAAATAACTGGATTGGTCTGTACTGGGGGGCCCAATATGATATGCCTTCAGCAAGGTCTGCAAACTAGTCTAGTGGGTGCTCTTCTCATAACTCCATGAACAGTAACTGAAAAAGAGTTTTAATCGTATTGATGCTACTTCATTCATTTTATGTCATGTCTTCTTGGACCCATATATAAAATCTGTCAAAGCCTCCACAGTTACCAAAAACCAGAGAGATCTTTCAGTGAAGTGCTATTTTATGTAAGGTGGCAGACTTCTCCAAAAACCCTTGGTTTTCCAAGACAGAAAGCTCTGATTGAATGTTTAGATGGCCATATGTAACTCACTGATAAGATAAAGCACTATAGCTATATATGCAACTATGTTAAATCATAAAATATTGTATATTATAATAAATATCTCTAGAAAATATCCATCTACATTAGATTAACATAAACTAGAAGGCAATATTCAAATGATGAAAGATTAAATTGTGATTTATGGTATTATATAAGCAGAGATAAAAATATGTCTGCATCACATAGATGGAATAAAAAAAATCACTTTCTGTCACAGTGAGGAAAGAGAGTGTAGGACCTTATCTTGACTGTAACTGCACCACATAACCCAGTCTTTACCAGCACAATGAGCCTTCACCCTCTCAGGAAGATTTCAGCTGCACAGTGTAGTCAATTACGCAGTCAGCTCTGCTGATTGCTTAGATGTATGTAAGACCAATGGCATCAGTTCATAGCATTAGTGTATTAACAATAATATCAGGCACTTGTCATTCAGGCTACAACCTTGTAAAATAACACATAAATAAAATATTCAATTCTACATATTTATATGACAATGAAATCTGTGAGTAGTTTGAAAGCAAATATGAAGAAATTTTCCCGTTATCAGAGCAGGTAGCTGCTGCTCATCCTCTACACCAGTGTTTTCCAATTCGGTCCTCGGGGACCCACAGCCGGTCCACATTTTTGCTTCCTCCGTGCTCTCTACCAAAGAGGCCACATTTTGCTCCCTCCCAGCTCCCTGCCAAACAGTCCACATTTTGCTCCCTCCCAGCTCGCTACCAAACCGGCCACATTTTGCTCCCTCCCAGCTCTCTACCAAAGAGGCCACATTTTGCTCCCTGCCAAACAGTCCACATTTTGCTCCCTCCCAGCTCTCTACCAAACCGGCCACATTTTGCTCCCTCCCAGCTCTCTACCAAAGAGGCCACATTTTGCTCCCTCCCAGCTCCCTGCCAAACAGTCCACATTTTGCTCCCTCCCAGCTCGCTACCAAACCGGCCACATTTTGCTCCCTCCCAGCTCTCTACCAAACCGGCCACATTTTGCTCCCTCCCAGCACCCTGCCAGACAGTCCACTTTTTTGCAAGACAGATCTGTCAGTCAGGCAAAGGGCATATATATGACATATACAGCAAAAACGTGGACTACCTGTGGGTCCCTGAGGACTGGAATAGGAAAGACTTCTCTACACCGTCAACTAGCTTTAAATGAACACTATATGTCAGTTGTGGCCATTATTTTATGTAATCAGTGATGACTAACTTCTTTTCTGATATAAGAATATTAGCCAAATATTGTCCTGCAAAAGTATCAGTAAAATATGACACCTGCCTCAACAGCGCCCCTTGCTGGTGGGGTTCTCTATTGGTAGAACGACAGACTGGCTAAAACCCGAACATAGATGCATCTACCAGGTGAATCACAGAGCTACGCTCAGCCAAATACATTTATTTAAAATTGTTTCTCTACATCAAACAATTTAGACCTAGGTCTACCAGCAGAGCTGATAATTCAACAGTCAATAGTCACTTCTCACTGCACAGTGAGAAGGAAACAGGGAAATACTACCATAGGCACTGATAGAATTATAGGGGCCCACAGAAAGAGGGGCCCCACAGAGAGTCGATGGGCCCCATCACGGGAGGATCAGCTATCGGTCTCTTAGTTTAAATTACCGATGCACATCGCATTGCATTATGGACCCCCAGACACCAAATGATATATGTGCCCTCTACCTGGACTTGCAAATCTGTCTTGCGCAATGTGTCCAATTTTTGAGTTCTCTTTTTTAATGACAAGGCTATAAAAGTTTATATTGCAGGGATATTTCACACAGATACATGGTACATCTGTAACATTTAACTGTTAAGGGTTAGAGGCTTCATTTGTCCACATGGACATGTGTACATAAACGAGGAGATGCCCCCCCCCCCCCCAAAAAAAAGAGAAAAAAATCTGGCACAGTGGCTATTATTTGAAGCTTATGCAACTGATCGTAGCAATTATTCTTAATCAAAAATATACAAAGAAGTGCCCTACATAATAAAGTGTGATTACATGATTAGAAAAGAATAAATATATAACAAATAATTATTTTCTTTGGGAGTACTTGTTAGTATCCATGAATTCATTAATGGATAATTCAGATTAATAAGAACATAAGAACTATACAAACGAGAGGAGGCCATTCGGCCCATCGAGCTCGCTTGGGGAGAACTTAACTAATAGCTCAGAGTTGTTAAAATCTTATCTAGCTCTGATTTAAAGGAACCCAAGGATTCAGCTAATATAAGGGTGTAATGAGTACCAAGTTCCACATGCCATTTGGAAAGTTGCTCTGGTTATAGCCCACAAAAGGCTATTCCAGTCCTGTATATTTTGTGTTGTACAGTCCCAGCAGGTGGCCAGACTGGTCCTTTGCAACATTCATAAAGAAAACATGCCAACATATAAGAAATCAGCATATTTGTGCACCTCAGACAGCAATGAAAGGTCCGTTTTAAGCAGCCATAGCATTCCGGGCATGCTGATGATCTTACTCACTTCCCCAGCTATGGATCTCCTGTCATGGACTCAGCTGGAGCACAGATCAGCGGCCTCGTCCTGTTCCAGGCACCCACAGAGCCTCTGTGTGACACCACAAATACAGGTATGGCTCTTCATCCATTTAAAGTAGCTGCTTTTTCAATCAGGCACCCTAAGGGCAGTCCCCAGTTCACCTGAACAGCATGCCTTTGTACTGTATTACTGTATTGAAATTAACACAAGTAGCCAGAGAAATCAGCACAGAGTTGGGAAGAAACATACACATCGCTGGGTCCACATTCGGTCCTGAACTCTAGAGCCGTGACAATCCATGCTGACATTCTGTCTACGTATGTGCACGCTACATTTATTCATGAAAACAGAACTCAGAAGGATTTATTTTTCTTGTAGCCTATTGTGAGAGAGCTAGTAAACTGTCTGTGGTAACATCTAGAGAAATAGAGAGGTCATTGTAAAGTGCCTTTTATGACCCAGGGTGGGCTGGCCAACTCATCTAAGTAATATAAAGCAATAAACAGACCATAAATCAGGGGCAGCCAGTCCTATCCACAAAGGGTCGTTGTGTATGCAGGTATTTGGGATAACCTTTAGGTCAGCTGGTCAAACCCAGATGTGAGGCCTCTTCAGCCAGTCAGTCCTCTAATTACCTGACCTCCAGCAAAAACCCACATACCAAATGGCCCTTTCTGGATAAGATTACCCCCCCCCCCCACCCGCCATAAACAGGGCTTCTTTACAACTTTCACAATGATTCCATAACCTTCTCAAACTCCCCTCTGTGATATGTGACCAAAAGGACTGGTGTTGTGTTTTTTATCGGAACCCTGCAGGGGGTCCAGCCTTAGTCGTAACTTTGATGTTGCAACAAAGACTGAATCTGAAGATCTACACAAGCAGCTTCTAACTCCTGATTTGACAGGGAAGGAAAAAAGATCACAAAAGATGCGTCATGATTCGTTAATGATGATCAAGCATGAGATCAGAATTTCACTTGCGTTATTCATTACTTGTTCCTTCAGTAGTTCATAAAGGTTTACATAACAGATATAGTAACAAATATAGTACTTGCTTGAGATAAAAGATGTGATTCTTCATTCATTAATGATGATCAAACTTGACCTGTTTGTAATTAACACTTAGTTTGTGGTAAATTAATTCCTAAGAAATAGCATAATACTACTGTACGTTACTTGTGTCCCCTCAAGTAAAGTGTTACCAGTTGAACATCTCAATCCGATATAAAGGGTATCACGACGTGGACTATCAGAACTCTCAAGGCAGGTTTTCTTACTGATACCGAGATTGCCGTGGTCACGACCATAGTTGGAAAGGTATGCAACAGAAGATAGCTGACAACAAAAAATGCATAGATCTACGGACAGTGTGATTGTTGTTAAGATAACTGTCTGATTGTAATTTCCAAACAAGTGCTTTGTGGTTTTTGTAATTATTATTAGTCTTTTTATTCATATCCTTAGTACCATTTTTAAAATAAAAAATAAACCTTCACTCTTCATAACCCATCGAATATTCCTTCATCCACCTCTCTCTGTCTGTCTGTCTGTCTCTCTCTCTCTCTCTCTCTCACACACACACACACACACACACACACACAAGTTTGTAATTATATATTTGTGGGGACTCCCCATTCATTTCTATGGAGAAAACTCTAATCCCAACATGAGGACCTAACCCCTACTGTAAGGAAAAGTAGTAAAGATGCCCCAATGTTCTTGGTTAATCATTTGAATACAGACAGTGTTAGCAAGTTATGATCATGGGGGAAGTCAGGGAGAGAATAGGGGTTCCAGTCTAGGGTGCTAAGGAAGATAATTCAATTGACAGAGGCCAGAGAAGTGGCTGAGCTACCATTTGCTCTCACGGGAAATCCCCGTCCTGTCCTGTCCCGTCCCTGCCTCAGGATCCTCACCCTCCAGGGGATCACTCTTTATATGTAAATTCACTCACAACACCTACACACAGCACCTTGTTGGGGGGGGGGCTTTTGGGGTATAAAGGGGGGTGAAGAACTGCCCTTAATTTGTACTTGAGCTGCCTTTCAGTACCCGGTGTGTGTCTACACTGTATTACATTATATTATTTTTTCTGTTCAATAAACCACCGTTTTTCTGAAACTGGTACCCATTACACCCTTATATTTGCTGAAAATACTATTTACACGAAGTGGATAGAGTAGAATAAATGGACTAATGACCATAATAACCCAATGAAATAGACATGTTCAGTAAAATGTGGTATAAATAATGGACTATCAATACACACCACTTGATTTTCAGACTATGTATTTCTATACACCTTTATTAAAAATTGGCACTGTGTATGTGTCAGGGTTAGTCCCTGTTGTCCCATTCTGTGTCCCTTCCCCATTTGGCCAGTAGGCGTTGCTGGTCATCCTGTCCTATGTGTTGTCAGTCTTTCCTGTCTTCCTCTGTTGTCAGTCTGTAGTGTTTCCTCTGTTCCCTGTCAGCCATGTGAATCCTTCTGTTCGAATCCCACCTCTGTATTTGTTCCTAGTGTTTTCATTTGTATGAGTTTTTCTAGTTCCCGTGTCTGGTGATTTTCTTGTATTCTGTTTTGGTTTCTTGCTTTGAGCCTTAGTTTTGTTACTCCCAGTGTTTAGATTCTGTTTTTCCTGTTTTCTTGGTTAGTTCATGTTTCCCTGTTTTAGTTCCTTTGAGTTAATTATTAGTTTCAGCTGTTGCCTGTTTTTGTGCCTGCCCTTCTGTGTTTACCTGATTGCTCGTTGCCCAGCCCCCTCCTGGATTGGTTAATTGTCAGTCTCACCTGTCCTGTGTTAGTCTTGTTACCCAGTTTTAGTTTCAGTATTTAAGTCCCTGCTTCTGTTCAGTTCCCCAGTGGTTCGTTGATTTTTGAATATTTGTGATTCTATAGGTGTTAGATGTGTGTTTTGCTTACCTGACCTGTTTTTGTTATTAGTCTTTTTTTATTCCCATTAATTTTTTGACCCCTCGTGGTCCTTTGTTTTGTTAGTGTTTTCAGTTCATTTAATAAACCCCGTTTTTGTCCTTGGAGCCGCAAGTGGATTGTCTTCCATTTGTGCCTGCACCATGCCTCGTTCTCGTGCCTGACCCGCCCCGTTCCGTGACAGTATGTTCACCACCAGTGACCGTAATAGAGCGACCGCTATTGGACATGAAGTACACAAACGAACATTCAAATGTTAATTGCGATTCCAAAGTAATTTGGAAAACCAATGGGCATGGAAGAGTTATCAACTCAAAATGCTGAACCGATGTCTCGTTAAACAGAGACCGCCACTTTTCGTAGATTATGAATAAGATTTAGCACATATAGAGAAAGGGTTCGAAATGCATAAATGATCGGTCTGCATCTCTGCGTGTGGACATCTAAAGCCTGTGATTAAAAACTACCTGGCTTGCTTGTTGAGAGATATTACAGCCGGAAGACTGCGCATGGAATATACAGCTAACTTTAATGTACTAACAGGATTATCCTGGGCAAGCCATTTCTAGTTAGGGAAAGTAATACACCGACTTCTTCCATTTGATTGAGCTAAATAATGTCCTTTTGTACGGACTACTAATAGTATTGTCCTGAGTAGCCCTTAACATATTACACCGAATTTTACCCGGTTAGCAAAACATACCGAAAGCCATTTTCGAGCACATACGATCATACAAAATTTTACCGATCGAGCACCTGCACCCCCCAAAAAGTCTCTGCAAAACTCTGGTTAAGAGTATAGCGTATAAAGCAAGTTTACTGTGCATGGTTGACAGTGTTTGGCAGGTGTACTGCCTCATAACAGAGAGCAACGTGGCATTTGATTATGGCGCACATTTGCCGTGTTTCCACAAACTTATGCAATATCTTACCCTTTATTTTCATCCAGATTTGCATTAATTTCTCACTGAGATCCTGTATTGACAAGTGAGTTGAAACACTCCATAAAGCCTCCTTCAGCACATCCCAAAGACCTTCAATGAGGT